TAGTGAAGTAACGCTACCAGACTGTCTGGTAGGATGTCATGATAGGACAATGATTTTATTTAGAAATTCCCTAAATAACCAGGTTTTATACAGGTGAATGTTTAGGCTTCTCAATCGTGTTCCATTTTGAGCTAACTTTAAGTTGTTTGGGTTTTTTTTGTTTGTTTTAAATTGGGTAGACAAGTTAAGTTTGTGATGATGCTTTGTTCCCTTCCCTTTGCTCACTTTAAGATAGTGGTTGACTTTGAAAATTTTAAATACGAGTATTTCATGTTGGCATACCACCTCAGACACATGAAAAAGTTCAGTGCTAGAACTGTGGGATCTGTTCCTCTCTCTAAACACGTGTTTCCACTAGACCGGATAGGATTATGAAACACACAGCAAGGAAAGACTGGAGTTCGGGGTGTATATTTTTCACGTGAGTAGTGGTGCTTTCAGTGATGCTTTGTCAGGTTATTCTCTCTTCTCAGAGACAAAGCTGGGGCACCAATTTATCTTGGTGTGTAGAATCTTTTCACTGCAGTCAACTGGGTTTTAACTTTATGTTTTCCTACTGTCTGTGGGCACACTGCTTTAAATTAGGATGAGTCTGTGGAAGGAAACAGTATTTCCACTCCTTGAGAGAGGGAAGCAGTGGTGTATTAGTTCTCACACTCCTATGTTATAATGTCCAACTGAGAAGTTTTTAGCTACTCTAAAAATTACTCCCTTTAACCAATTAAGTCTAGAAGTTGGGAAAGGTAATAAGTAAATGCTTATAAGCAAATAGATCCTTTTTTAACTACAGTACTTGCTTCATGGGGAAGCATAAATTTAATTAACAGCTAGTAGCTGGTGGGGAGGGAGGGGGGAGAGGGAGGTGTGTGTATGAGTTTGGTTTTGGTTCTCTTCAGCCTATCCTTGGAAGTGTTCAGGGCCGGGTTGGGTAGGGTTCTGAACAGTCTGATCTAGCCTAGACATCCCTGAACATGGCAGGAAATAGAATGAGATGACCTTTAAAGATTCCTTCTAACCCAAACCATTTTATGATCTTCTGAAGATACTTACTTTCTTTAGATGGTGGAAGTAACTCCTGACTCTGAGGTGGACTTGCATTTTCACTTAGGCTCTTTTTTAAAACTTGTCAGACTCCAGCAAAGACATGCTGATTTAATTGTTTGGTTTGGGAATGGCTGTGTCTTGCCTGGAGATTGCTCACATTGCATTAGGTTTTCTAACTGGTGTTTTACCTATCACAGACAGTAACTGAGGCCTCAGAGGGCAACGCAGGGAGCCATAAAGCCTTGCATTCTCCACTGATCCCACCTACTTTAACACTTGAAGGCATTTTAATCCTTTGCCAGATCCCATATTACGAGAATAATTTAATTGCAGCATTTTTCCTTAGGGGCTGGGACTCTGACAAAGCTGTGAACTTTGGTCATGTTTGGGTCCTTTTTTTTATTTTACCACGTGCATTTATTAGCCAAGCTGGAAAACCCTGTTAGAGACATACGAGTAATATGTTGCTTGCTTTTCCTTTGGTGTCAGAGGGCAGTGTTTTTATCAGAGCTTGCCTTTCAGCCCCACAAACCCAGCTGCCTGGGAAAGATGACAAATCTTTGGGAATCCTCTGATTTGTCACTTTTTGTACCAAGGAGCACAAGATATTAACAAGTAACTTCCTTATTGCTAGCAAATAAAACATAGATGTCTGTGACTCTGAGTAGACTTTGTACTGACAGTTGAGATAAAGACATTCTTCCTCAGTTTCTTCTAACTTTCTTTTGTTCTGTGTGAGGGTACACAGCAATGGTGCACCATGCCTGCCACACAGATTAACATGTCTTCTCACCAAACAGTGCCAGCCTTTTCTGTTCCATGAAAATCTTGTATCAAAACTGCTTGCTATCTTTCTGACTCTTACGTATGCTGTATTATGTCTTTTTTTAAATGAAGAATAACATGACAAAATTATGTATTTTCTTAGTCCAAGGTGGCCTAATGTTCTACTACATTTTTTGCTATCCCATTCCTTGTGAAATGTTGCTGGCTTTGTCTTCATTAGATTTCCTCAATGACATGTTGCAGGCATGTAGATTACCACAAGTTTATTTACTTGCACATGAGCTTTGAGGAGGGCATATTGGGAGTTAGCAATGTCCATGATTAAGATCACTCCGTTTGCAGAGCTCACAGGTATTGCAATGAGTATGTTCACTAATGCATGCTCCTAGTAAGCGCACACAAGATGTCTAGAAGCAAATAATTAAACTGAGCTGTATTTCTTTGCACAAGCTGTTGGAAGCAGCTGTGAGAAAATAAAGTGGAAACTTAAGGGTGTACCATGCAGAATCTGTTGCACAGTTGTTTCTGTGATCATGAGCTGGCTACTTCTGTTCCAAAAAATTAATTTAGAAATGTCTCAAATAGGCTTATAGATGTTCAAGAAGGTTGTGAGCAAATATTTATTGAGGATAATTCTGGATAATACTTCTTGAAGTTTTTTTTTATTATTTTTTTTTTTTAACCCCAGGATCATAGGTTTGAATGAAAAACATATTGCACCAAACTCTTTAAAAACTGTTTGTGTGCATTAGTATTGCAAAGAAAACAGTGGGAGCTCTGGAGGGAACAGGAAATAGATTTGATTCACAGTGGGAGAAATGAATGTAGAAGTCGAGCCAGTTGTATGCGCTATGGCTCAATGCTGAATGAACCCAGAACAAATTGCTGATAAGCCTGCGGGGTTTTTTTTGGTTTTTTTTTTTTTTTTTTTTTGCTACCCTAAGTGCCTTGTACGCCCCATGAGCACTTTGCTGCACACAGTGTGTGGATAGGCACACTTAAGTCTGGCCGCTTGATTGTGTCTGGGTGCTAAAGTGCTACTGAAAAGCTGATCTTAAGTTACTTGCTTGAGGCAGAGCTGCAGTTCCATCACTGCTGCTTTTTCTCCTGTAGCACCTCAAAATTTTAACTTTAGATGTATCATGATACATGTTGTAAAAGGCAGGCTTTGACATTTACTTCCACTACCTGATTTTTGATCTCTCTTCTTTGTTTATGGGAATGCTTAGGAATTGTCTTGTCTTCCCTATGGAGGTACTTCATGCTGTAACCTCTGATGAAGAGCAATTCCCCAGCCTCAGTCAGTGCATGGGGATAACAGCAGTCAACTGTAAACCTTCCGAAGTCTGTGATCAGATGTGTTCTGCAAACTTGCCCAGGCACAGAGAATGACTTTAGTATGCTGTTAGCATACTAAAGATGTACTGTCCAGGCTCCATGCACAGTATCAGTCTGGCAACGGGTGTTCTAGGTGTCAGCTGCTGTCCTGCTACATAGGCATATTTATGCATGAAGGTGGATGCTTGCATTGGAACAGCTGCATTAGGCATGCATAGGGTTAGAAATGAATGCATTGCTCCAACAGTCATCATAGACAAAGTGGATATAGCAGATTTGTGTAGTAATTTGTTTTGAAGTTCATTTGGTTACATGGACTGAGGTGTAACTGAGCTGTGATTTGTGATTGAAGTTGCTTGATGCAATTCTGTACAGAAGCAGAATCTTACATAAATTTACTCTAAAAATCCTCTGGCCTGTGGAAGGAAAGTTCTGCATGAAAGGACAGAGTTTCAAGAACTTGCTTCTCCTCCCACCCCCCTCTAGTTACAAAAAGGTAATTGCTTAAGACATCAGTTCCTTCTGAGCATTCAGCTTTACAAAAATTGCCAAGGCAGGTTTTCATAGCAAGTGAGACTACTTTCTTTACTCTCCAACATAGAGTTGTAAGTTAGTGATAGCCTCTGATTTTCCAGGAAGGCTTAAATCTCTTCCGTTGTTGATGGAGTAGCAATATTGTGTAAATATCTCACTGGAAGACTTCTGATTGACATCAAGGTCCTTTCTTCACTTAGGACAGGCACAGATAGTTTAAAAAAACCCCTACATTTTAGGATTTTGTTAAGAAGAGTGTACTGCCAATATACTACCCATCACTTTCTTTTCAAATATATTTGACCCCAAGTTAATTAAGTATGACTTTCTGTATTAGCTGATAAACACTGGGATGTTCCTGCCTGGTTTGTTTTACTTCAATATACCTAAAGAAGGAGATGGATTGTAGAACCTGGTAGTCTTTTCTAGATAGAATGGTTTAACGTCTGTGTTTAGGGATCACTTGCTGTAGTGCTAATAGCCATGTTATCCTGTTGTCCTATTTCACTACATGCCCTGAAACATCCAGGCAAATAGTTGAGACTTGACTGTTTTGGTGTCCAGCTGGTTTGCCTCCCAAAGTTTCGAGGATGTTGCTGTGTCGGGAATTATTCTGGAAGGTCTCTAAAGAATTTTCACTACTGTTCTTCAACTGCAAGAGGAAATTGTGCTCCCTCCGACTTCATGAGAACCTAATTACCATTTCCTTCGGAAGAACATCTGTAGGGCTGTGAATGAGCAAGCTTTAACAAAACAAAAAACTCCTGTGATACTGTTTCACCTCCCTGGTTTCTCATGTTCGGTTTCTATTGCAAAGCCCTACCTAGCCTTTCTTCATTTTGATACACTTCAAAGAAAACAACCCTTCTGAGCCTGCTGCCCATTAATAAAGAGGCTAAATTGGATTATCTAGCTTGCAACAAGAGGTATTCTCATAAAGGATCTGGTAGGTTTCCCCGTATTAGTAATAGAGGGAGAACCACTGTGGCCTTGATAACTTGAGTCTCTGAATTTAAAAAAAAAAAAAAAAAAAAAAAAAAGGGGGGGGGAATACAAATTGGGGGAGGAGTTAAATCTTTCTCCCACTCCCTTATACCTGGTTAAAACCTGCCAGCCCCTCTGAGTAATTCATCAGTCATACAAACATTGACCCTAGTTTTTGGACAGGGAAAGTATTACATGCTTAGTTTTAAAAGTAAAAAGAAAATCCCATACCCCACCAAAGAAGGACACATCTGTTTCTAACTTCAGCTTTTTATTTTTTTATCTTTCATTTTTTTTGTTGGTAAATCTCCCAGACAACAGCAGTTCTGTAGAGAGTTTAAATATGAAGGAATGGCAGGACGGGCTAAGGGCACTTCTACCGAACATTAACATCAACTTTGGTGGACTGCCCAATGCTTCTTCCCCCTCCAACGCCAACCACAGTGTACCAACGTCCAACACTGCCACCACCGACAGCCTGAATTGGGACAGCCCTGGCAGCTGGATGGACCCCGCAATCATCACAGGTAACCGTTTCTCACTCCTTCAGCTCCGCTGGCAAACCATCAAATGGGTATTTGGCACAAACTGATTTAACACCTGGAAAAAGAAAAAGTCAGTATGCGGTGGTCTCTTCCAGCTTCCATCCACAAAACCTCAGGGGTCCAGGAATTTTTGTGGAACTGCTAGGTATAACAAAGTGTCACTTAGGCCTTTGCAATGCATGCCCGGGAGCTTTGCAGGCAGTCAGGCAGATCAGCACTTACCTATAGGGTCAATCCGTCCCTTCTGTTGGGTGGCATGTCCGGTATGTGCGCCGCTGGTCCTGAGGCACTGAAGGCTTTCACTGGACTTTGTTATTTAAAAAGGGACATACTCCACTTGTTTATAAAGCTCTCTTTTATAAGGCTGTCTGGTTGTGTTTCCCTGTTAGAGAGGCTGAAGCATGATTCAAGCAGGCAGAGTAGGAGGTGAAGCATGCAGCATACTAGTAGTTTAGTGTTGTAAGGTCATGTCAACAGGGATGCAGTCCTTGCAAAGGATGTTTGATAGAAAAATGCGTGGTTATGAAGTGCTCTGAGGGGGAACTTTTTCCTGTCTGGATATAATGTTAAATGTTTTGAGGGCAGGGTGATTATACATAATAATGTAAAATGCATTCACTGTACAAACTAATCATGTTTTCTCACTGTTGCTTTTTGTTAGGTTAAATTCACCTCCTTCATGCTCAGCTTATTGCTTCTGCTTTGACTTGCCTGTATCCCTGTTTTTTTTCTTTTCTTCATAGGTATCCCAGCCTCCACAGGAAACAGTTTAGACACCCTTCAAGATGACAATCCTCCACATTGGCTAAAATCTCTTCAGGCCCTCACAGAGGTGGACGGCCCCAGTGCAGCACCATCACAGACGCACCATAGTAACCCCTTCAGCACACAGATCCCTCTGCACAGAGCCAGTTGGAATCCCTACTCTCCTCCTTCAAACCCCACCAGCTTCCATTCCCCACCTCCAGGCTTTCAGACAGCCTTCAGACCCCCCAGTAAAACCCCCACAGATCTACTACAGAGCTCAGCACTGGATCGTCATTAGGAAAGGAGGAAGAATTAAAAAAAGAAAACCCAAAACGTTAGAAATGCAGGAAGTGTCCCACCCTGACTCCTCCCCATGCCCACCTACTGTTCCCTGTCATATCTTTCTTTCTGAAGAATCCAGTTCCTGATCGAACCTTCCCCCCCCAAATGCAATGCCATCACAGGGTCATGACTGTATCTTTTTGTTAAGTTTCTGCTGAGCCAGTGTTTGAAATACACTGTTTGAAATGTTTCTAACCATTCTAAGGGGAAAAAAAAAAAAAAAGAGAGAGAAGTCAAAATGCAGTCTCAATGCTTAAGGAGAATATTACTGTCTTATGTCTTTTGCATATGAGTATTTCCGCCTAGTGGAAAAGTGTCAATCTGCAGTAGGGGAAAAATGCAATGCAGAATCAAATGCGGAGACATGAAAAGAATATTTCATTTAGATGACATTACTGAACATGTGGTGCAAGCAGTGGCCTAGCATTTATTTTGCATTCAGTGTGGCACTACACAGGGAAATTGCTATGTTGGGGTTTGGTTTGGTTTTCATTTTTTTTTTCTTTTGAGAAGGGGATTTTATTGTGTCAGTTTGACATGAAGTGTGTTGAAAAGACAGAACACTTATAGCTATGAGTAACTGGCATGTTGCTAAAGAGTGGTTTAAAGAGGGGAGAATAAGATTTTTCTTTAATTTTGGCTTTAGATTTAAAGTAAACCTTAATGTTTTAAAAGTATTCACAGATTTAATACCTAGCGTATACATAATATAATTATAAGCAGCTGAAACATGAGTGATATTTACTTCAGTCTTTCTGTCTCCTCTGTTTAGTCTCTCTCTTTTTTTTTTTTTTTTAATTATTTTTTTTTTTAAATAAGAAGATCCACCTGATTAGGGCACTCTGGGATAGCACTGCATTGGGGCCACATGATCACCATCGGGAGCAACCTCTGACCTCCTCTGCCTGCAGCTTTTACTTAACCCTGTAGTTTCTGGACGTTTGTGCAGTATTGAAAAGACAGGAAAAAAAGAAACAGATAAATAAACATGGTTATAACCTGACGCTAAAACTAAAACCAAGGAAATGTACCTCTTTCTTCAGAATTAAAACTAAGATCTTAAATAAAACAGAAAACTTGATGATGACTTTGTGTTTGCTTTTCATTTTTTTTTTAAATTTGAGTTTTTAATTACTGCATCTGTTAAAACTGTATGTCACTGCATGGGGTGTTTTTTCCTGTTCATCTAAACTGGAGCTACTTTTTCATGGAAATACTGCTTTGCATGAGGACTTCTGTATTGGAGGGTGGAAGAAGCATACAGCCTTTACATTTTTAAAGGGATTCTGTTGTTTTCACTCATAGCAATAGTGAGAGGCTGTATGTCTCTAACCTTTATTGGTGGTATCCTTTTAGATCTGAAGCATCAAAATCTTGTTTGTATGTTTTGATTTGAATGCCATGGCAGTTGGGACAGACAGCTTGCAATAATGTGTCTGAAGCTGTGGCAGAGAATACTAGTTACAACTTCCACTTCTGTCAGCAACCTTGCTTAAAGATGTAAAATATTGTCCCTGCACAACCAGAGGATGAAGAAATCTTAACATACAGAAGGCCTCCAAGAAGCTCTTGTGCTTCCAGCCAGATACGTTTAAAACAACTTTGCGACTGTGGTGCTGGATTGATGGAGCTCATGAGGATGGCAGAGAGCCTGAAATCCGAGAGATTCCTGTGCAGAAGGATTTCTCAGTTGGTGTGAGCTGTATAGTTCAGGCTGGCTGCCCTCCTCAATGTTTGCTGCTGGCAGGGGAAAGGAAGAGAATTCCCACTGTGGAACTTTGGGCATCTAATGGGTTGGGGGGGCATTGGCCTATCACAGTCCAGGGAGTGCAAGCAAATCCTGAATCAATCACTGGACAGGGGAACCAGGCATTGAATCTGCATAAAATGACTCTAAGTGTGCTGCTTTGTAAAACATTACTTGTTGGTAGTTAACTGCCGTTGCTGTTCTGTTACCTGTGTTGAAGTATAGTACTGTACTTACTGTCTTAACTGCATGTTTCTGGACAGGTATGGTCGCTGCAGACCAGTGGTGTGCTCTGGTTACCTGGGGGAATGCACACACCCTTTGATGCCAAAGCAAACAGTTTTGCCACCCAGTCAGCCCCTGCTCAGTCCCCTGCTGTAACTCCTGGTGGTGGAATGAGAAGTGTGGCAGGCTTGGGACATCCTCTCCAGTGGCAGTTCCTGCTGCTGCCTCTGCCACTGGGGATGCAACCCGCAGGAATAGCCTGCTGGACGTGCTGGTGAAGCTGTAATGGGCTTTTCTTTTTGTCACTCTTTCATTGCTTGATAGACATGGGCAGTTTTTGACCTTTAACATTTCCCTTTTAGAAGGGTGCCCTTCCTGACCCTGAGAATAAGCCAGCCTCCCAAAGCAGCTGTAACTGTTTGCTATGTGCCACAGCAATTCCTGAAGCTTACTGGGTTTTGATTTGTCTCTTTGTCACAGGTCAGAATGTGCTGAGGGAAATCTGTGTCCATGGCTTGCTACCACTAGAGAATAGGGTTCATCTGCTCAGGAGAACCATAGAACAGCTTGTGTGCTTGGTTTACTTACAAACTCTTAGCCATTAGGAAAAGGTTTACTAGAGTGATTTTTCTCTTTATGGTGCTGCCTCCCCCCCCCCCCA